AATAAAGCATCACAAGAATGGAAAAGCAAGTGTCCAAAGCAATCAATACTGATATGAAACTAGTAGATGAACAACTACACACACAGATTTTCTTTACCCATTCGTCATTGATAAAGCATCTTCTAGACACATTGTAATCAACTTCACCAAAGTTAATATGAAGGAGAAAATCCTGCAAGCAGCCAGATGTAAGAAAATCATAACCTACAAGAGGAAGAATATTAGAATGACTGCAGATCTTTCTGCTGAAACTTTTCAAGCCAGAAGAGGATGGTCACTGACCTTCAATGTCCTAAAACAAAACAACTTTCAGCCCAGGATCCTATATCCAGCTAAATTAAGCTTCATTTATGATGAGAACTTTTCATTCATTTAAATATTTAATTCATTTAATATGTTTAACAACTTAAAATGTAAATCAAAATATAACTAATTCTGAATGGATTATCTTCTTTAAAGTTCAATATACCTGGCCTCCCCCTTTGTTCTGAATCCATCATTCTGGTTAATAAGCATTTACTTTAAATTCTCTATTTATACCTCATAAATTGATTATTTACTCCTTTCTCTCTCTCTCTCTTTTTTTGTCATCATACCTTGTTGTGTTATCCTCACTTCACTATTTTCCACTGCACAGTTTTGCTGGTAGGTATTGAATGTGTGCTTTTACCTTCTATGTTCTACTGTGCACAGAACTTAAACATATCTTCTTGTGGCTCACCTCAAATCAGTGTCTGTTCTCTGAGAAATTTTAAAGTTAGTATGCATTTCTAATACCTAGAAATTAATATGTTTCCATAAAAATGGAAAATCATGTAAGGTATCCATGGCTGGGGCGGCTCCTGTGGCTAAAAGGAGTAGGGCACCGGCCCAATATGTAGGAGGTGGTGGGTTCAAACCCAGCCTTAGCCAAAAACTGCAAAAAAAATAAAAAATAAAATAAAAAGAATCCATGGCTTTTTAATTAACACAATTTTAAGGATATTTTAATGAAACAGATAATGTGCTAAAAGGACATATACAGAGAATAAAAATAATTTTATTTCAGTAATTCAGTATAGCAATTGTTTCAGAAAATAATTAGCTATGTTTAAAACTCATTTATATTTAGTTCAAGATAAATGTGTTATATATGAGGGAAGAGGGATGGTGAGGCCAGGTGATAAACGGAGGGAAAAACAAATGACTGTAACCAGCAATAGTCATCTGTGTTATACATTTACTTTTTTTATTATAGCTACAAACACATCTTGCTAGAATTACACTGATTGTGCTGATGTTTGCACAATTCCCCTCTGAACCATCTTTGTTGTGTTTTTACTACAATATGTAAGTTTCCTCCTCTTTCGTTTGTAGTGTGTTCACTCATTTCTTGATAGGAGCAAAAAAATATTCCAAGTATTTTTGTCTTGCTTCAGCTCAGTGTCTACCACTATTTCCCAGCTGTTTTCATCATATTCAGGCCATTTCCCCTATTTCTATCAAAGGCTCTGGTAAGAATCATGCAGTACTTAGGACTCACCTACCTTGTTTTCTATCTAATAAAATGCATCCCATGTTAGAATTATCTTCCAATAGCAACTCAGACCTGGATCTGTACTACTCATGGTTCCCTACAACTGCAGCTCCACTCAGAGCCAAGGAGTCCACAGTGTCAAGAGGACACACGGACCCTCGGCTGATCCCACTAGATACTTGCTGAACTTTGCAGTCTGAGCTCACTTCTAGCATCTTCTCCATTCTCCTCCTTAGCTCTGTCTTCCCTACTACAGGGACCCTACACGGTGACCAAATAGTAGCTATCTGTGGGAGCTCGCAGCGGGCTGGGATGCCCACAAACATGCGTGGCACTCCTGGGATGTGGGAAAAATTTCTTGTCTCTCCATTTTTTTTCATTCTGTTATGGCTCTTTCATTTCATATATGCTGTTTAACTTGCATAATCATTATCTACATAGTTATTTTATCTCACTCGTGTTAATGTAAGATCCTGGAGGTCATAGACTACATTTCTCCTATCTAAACTCCTCCACTTATGCCAATTTCTGCCTAATGTCCCGCTCCCCAGGGTGTATATTATACATTATGAACATCATACTAGATTGCTTATAAGAGATTTCCATAAGCAATGCTGAATAGATCGATGTATAAATTATTTAAATGGTATTTGCTTTCCCAAGTATATCCTGTTTCATCTTATTTTTATAATGGAGTTATCTTTAGAAACTGGGGATTTACTGTAGGCTTGATTTAATAGATATAAAACTATTATGAATAGTTCCTTTTTCAAAGAAATTCAATGGAAGTATGAGAAACCTAAAAGCTCTGCTTTGAAATTTTGCAAGATATTTTATATATATATTCCTGCCACCTTTCTTCTTTCTAGTATATCATAGAACCACAAATTAAATTTGACTATAGGTTTTAAAATATAGTTTACCTCACAGTTGAACCAATTAGTATAATTGATTGACTTGAACCAAAATTATCTGCATTTCACACCCCCCAAATTACCAGTTGTCAAAGTGTTCCAGGGTTAATTAAAATATCACTGATACGAAGTTTATGAAGCAGTCATGAATGTCTTAAAGAGCTGGGGGTTTTTAATAGCATTTTCTTACTGGTGAGTCACAAACTAGAATATTTCTCAGAAATGTGGGTGGTTGTGTCTGAAATAAGTTCAGGGTAGAATTTCTGTAAGCTCAAATAAGATTTGTTGGAATTGTTTTTTCTTTCAATAAATTTATTAGGAACAAGATTTGGTCATTATGATTTTGTACTTGCAAATCAATCTTATAATAAATTATGTTTTGTTTCAGCTTTAGTGTGATATTTGCTATTTATATTTCGCTTAAAATGCCTCATTTAAGCCACATAAACTGGGAAAAAATAATGTTTCAGAGATATTTATAATTAAGATGCAGAGTAGTTTAACATTCTAATATAAAATTCAAAATAATTACTGGGCTGAGACTATGAAAGCACATATTCTGCCATTATGTTATTAGTATACTCCACGTACAGTAACAGTTTAACCTCAGGATTGTTCTATACATGGAACGGCAAAATGCAAGCTAAATGCAAAATTACGTATCCAATAAATGCTAGTTGTCAATACCTACTTTATTGTTCATGTCATTACTATCATTTCGTAGGTCTGGTTTTCATCTTTTGCACTAGTTACATGATGGTGCTGTACTAAACTTCTATTGAGCTATCTATAATCTACATAAATGTTGGCTTATCTTTGGATGAGACAATTACCAGAAAATCTCTGCATCTTTTGCTGACTGGCAACAGGGATAATTTTTCCTACTGTTAACTCTTCTCACACGTCACAAGATAACATTTTACATTTTATAGTTGTATAAATGGAATTTAAATTTATGAAATCCTATTGCTTAGTGTTTGGTCAGGAAATAACATTTAGTTTAGAAGACAGTGTTTTATTTACTATTTTCTAATTACACTTTACATGCTACTCTTGTGTGTTTAAGATCATAACAATGGTGAATCTGGAGAGTAGAACTGCTGTCTGCTTCATTTTGACCTATGATGATGACATTCTGTAAAACTTGTATTCATCAGCAGGTATTCTAAATGCTGATACTCGGGAATGATACATGGGTCACTGTGAAAGTTTTGAGACAGTCTGTGTTATGTCCATTATTTCCCTTCAAATAAACATAGTGGACACCCACCTTCCAGGTTCACCCATGCATATTTCCACTTACTTGCCTTGAAGCCTGGTGTTGTGAGAGGGATCACAGAACAGGCCAAGCATTCTCTTTACAGGGAAACATTTTTCCACTCTTCTTCTCCATCCATATATAATCAAAACACTAGTGAGGAGGGAAAAAAAAAAGAAAGAAAAAAATCCTTGGTGTCACTGAGGGGAAATCAGTGATAGGAATAGAAGGTTTTCTACCTCCCTGACCTATCTGGGAGAGAAGCAGGATTCTTCTTCATCAAGCACAGTGAGAAGAGCTAATAATTAGAGCTGTGTGCTTAGCACCATAGACACTGGAGGCCTTGGCTAGAGGAAAAACTGGTCTCTTGCTACTGGATCATTGAGTCTCAAACTCACCCCTATCTATCATAAGGGAGGTGTTTGGGCAAGTTGACAAGTGTTGCTGCATTTGGTGTTCAGTGTTTTTTTTTTTTTTTTTTAAGTTTGAAAGTTGTGTAGCTTGAAGGAAAAGCCTAAAGTAGAGGAGCAGGGAGGGTCTGGGCTTCCATGACTGGAGGAAGATGAAGAAGGCAGAGAGGAAGAGAAGTGGCCCCGTGGCTTCTGTGAGGCGTCTCACCAGACTGGCTGCCGAGGGCCTGCTGCCTCAGAAGCAGTCGTGCAATAGTCAGAAACACTCTACACTACTACAGCCAAAATTGAGACAGGGATGCTCCTCTCCAAAGAGGTCTTCACAGAAACATGGGGCAGAAGCACAGCTGAGGCACCTCCTCCAAGTTCATGAACCTTGTGGCCCAAACCATTAGCAGGAGATAAAACCAAAGTAAGCCAGATGGAAACGTGGGTGTGCCTTTCCAAACCACATAGACACATGAAGTTCACTATCTTTTCTATGTTCTTCTTCACCTGAATCTCTCAATCCCAGAACAGACAAAGCTTCAATAGAGAGAGGAAGACTGTATCTCAGAATTAGGTCCTGATACTCTCATGCTTCCTAAGGTCAGGGGTAGGAGGAAGAGGAATAAAAGGGCAGCTGATGACATCTTTCTACTCCAACTACATTATGATAGGAAACCGGCTTGGGCTACACCCAAGGGGAAGGGTTGCATGGGATTAATCAACCATACAGTTAAAAATAACAGTTTCTAACAGAAAATTAAATAATGTCGAAATATTATGGAGATTTAACAGGAAAGAGTGACTAGTGACTGTGAGATACTCCACAGATATTTTTGTGGATAATGAGACAGAAAACCTAGCAATCATTGTTAAAGCAACAACTGAAGAAAAAAAAGTTAAGATATTAACACTCTAGCTTTATGCAGTGGCCGTATCATAGCCAATGAGGTTTATCTGAGTTGCGATTATTGCTAATTGAAAACTTTTCCCAATAACCTGCGGTGAACAACTTGAAATTTAGTTAGCACTGGCAATTTTTGACAGTCTCTATGGAGACTAAAAAAAAAAAAAGATGTTAACTCAGTAGTTATTGAGACTTCAATAAATATTACATATACATATATATATATTTCTTCCACCACCTTGAATGATAAGAATTTTTCCTAATAATTTCCCTTGTTTTCTTCCTTTCTGTAATGTAGTTGAAAGACTATGATTCAAAATAATGGTTGTTGGCCTTTAAAAGGATATATGGAGTTATAAGAAATTGAATGATTTTCTAAAATATTAATGCAAAATATATCTTAATGAAAAATGCCCTGTGTTCTGAATTTATAAAAATTATTGTTGGCCCAGAAAGGTGATGTTTATTTCTGGATGTAAGAAAATATTTACTTCAGATAATCCACCTTATGTAGTAATCCTCTGCCACGGAGATGGAAAGAGGGACCCTATTTCAATGCAATAATTGATAAACTTTATTGCACCTGCAGGTGGGGTGATGCCATAAAAGCATGCAGCCCCGATTAGCAGGTGAGAAGCCTTTTTATACTGTTATTCTGCATAGTTATGCATGGTCAGCAAGCTAGCGCAATACAAAGGCCAATCATAGGGTTAATGCAGGGTCACAGGGTGGGGGTACATATTGGCTCATAAATCACAAGATACATCACAAATACATTAACTCATAGGTTATAAGATGGGGTTATATAGTTCAGGGGTACAAAACGGGGGCACAAGAGTTGGGAAAGTTTCTGAGAACAATTGAGGATTTTTCACCCAGGGCTTTATTTGGAATCCACCCCTCCCTTCCTCCTTTTCTTATCTTGAAGCTTCTTCCCAGAATCTAACTCCTCCACCCTTGTAGGGGCTGAGGCTAAAAGACTTAGGAGAAGTTCTCTTTTCAAGGGTAGGGGGCTTGTTCCCCAGTGGTCTTAGGGGGATTCAAGGGATCTGGGTCATCACATTTAAAGGTAATGAAGAATCTATACATAACAAAATGTAGTTAACTACAGAGTCTTTACAAGTAGGTTAGGTGATTCTCCATGCGTCCAGGTTATACAACATGCAAAAAAAGTATGCTTAGATTTTAGATAATTTTAAATTGTCAAAATACATATGCCATGGTGACAGCTTGTTGTCGACTTTCACTTTGAAATGCACAATTGTTTTCTTTTCATGTTCTGTATATCTCTCCCTTTCTTCCCTTCTCATCTCAGATGTCTCTTTTTCCTCCATCCTCACAGCCTTGGTTTTCCATAGACTTCTTTTCAGGAATCTTTAACTATTAGGTGTCATATCTTATATTGATCTATTACTAACGATCCAAGACTATGGGAATTCTCTACTGTCACTGTTTCAAGAAAATCTCAATGTCTATACCAGCAAGTTGACAAAAAACTGAAAACTTAAAAGATGTGAAATTAAAACCACTGATAACTTTGAAGTTTGGACCTTGCCAGCTTTAATCATTCCTTTATGATGTTTGATTTACTCTATGACATCATATGATTTTACCTATCAATATGACCTATGAATTTTAAATATACTGAGAAGACCTCATCTCCATTTGTTTTAAATACCTACCATATTAGTCTATCATTTTATCTTTTGTTTTTTTCTTGCTAGACTTGACTTCATTCAAAAGAAAATTTATCCTTAAATATTTATGAACAAACTGGCATGGTTTACCTAGATCAACCATTGCTCAAAACAGCTAAAGACAGCCTTCAAGAAGTCTTATACTATAAAATAACATGGAAAACCAAAGCATTAACTCTATAGGGGGTTTGAGTTGCCTCCCTCTCCATAAGCCTGAGGCTAATGGTATTCAAGAGTATTCAAACATTCTCAATTCCTTTGGAAATATCTGGAGGCATTTAGATACCCAGACAACAGCTCTGAGGTTGAAGCCAAATAGCCATATGCTTCAAAAATTCTAAAATTGCACCTCAAATAGCACAGCAGTGGGGGAAAAATAGGAAAAAGAAAGAAATCAATAAAACCTTATTCAAACACAATTTGTTAATAAGCTTTTTTTTTTTGCTGGATCAGTTTCAGTAATTGCTTGTAACAGTGGTTCTGTTCCAAAACTAAAGATCATTCTTCCCAAGGTATAACTTTTCATGCCAGTTTCTGAACTGGTAACTGTTCAGTACACAAATTGACCGAGATTATTCAGCCTGGCTGAATGGAAGTGTCTTGTCCCGGTGATGCTGTCAGTCTCTGCTTGCCCTTGTTCCATTCAGAAATAGCTACTAAGTCTGTGCTACCAAATCATTTACGAGCCAGTCAAAGTAAACGCTCAAGAGTTTTGTTTTTGTAATTGATTTGTTTTGTTTTGTTTTTCCCTATCTTCTCGGCTGGTTGCTTTGAAAACTAGTGAGATTTCCTATTCACCCACTTGTCAATTTAAATAATATTAGTGGAGCTCCCATGAGGTGCTATGTACTTATTCATTACAGCTCACTCAGAAAACAGAAGCCACACCAGTGATTGGAACAGGGGAAGTTTAATAAAAAGAATGTCTAACCTTACTGGGAAGTTGAAGTGATAACCAATTTACTAGTAAAGAATAAAAGGAGATCTAAAGAATAAGGGAGCAGCAGCTGTGAAGAGCATCTGCTAAACTAGGGCTTTACACAGCATGGCCTGAGATGGAGCTCCCTCTGGAAGCATGAGATCCAGACGCTGTCGGAGAAAGGCAAGACCACGACTCTGAAAGGCAGAGATGACACAGAGGGACACACCAGTGGAGTCTCAGGAAAGTTCACACTTCAGTTTAACATGGCAAACGGTTCAGTGGGCGTATCTCACCAGAGTCAATAGAGAGAGCTGTTTGTGGATGCTGATAGCCAGCAGGCGCTGGTGGCTGCCATGTCCTCCAGAGGCAGGGAAACGTCCGCATTTCAGAAGCCTGGTCATAGAACAGCCGCCCACACTAGCAGCCTCGTGAGGGTTTCCTATCTCATTCTTCTACACTGCTTCAGGATTTTCTAAAGTATGTTAAGCCATGCAATATTTTGTAGAAATCCTATGTCTGGGTCTGGACTTACGAAGGAATTGTTATGCAAGACATTAGGCGATTACAAGCCCTGAAGACAAAGATAGATTTTACTTTATTTTTTTGATACAATGTCCACTAGTGACAGTCAATGTGTGAGTGACACTCTTGGGGACTATGACATAGAGGAACTCCAGTCTCCTAGTCTGCTGCAGCTGATTATCACACATTGGGTGGCTTAAAGCAAGGCAGTTATTATCTCACAGTCCTAAGGGCTAGAAAACAAACACTGGGTTATGGAGCTAAAACCAAAATGTCAGCAGAGCTTTATTCCTTTTAGATGCTCTAGAGCAAAATAAGCTTCCAGCATCAAGTAGTGGCTGCCAGTGCTCCTTGGTTTGTGGCCCCTTCGTCCTCCTTATCCCAAGCCAGTGGCAGGTCATCTTCCTCCTTTTGGAATGTCTTTAATTTTGCCTTGACTGGAAGATTCCTGAAGTCCTCACCAGAAGCAGGTACTGGGGCTGTGCTTCTTGGGCGGCCCTCAGAGCCATGAGCCAAATACACTTATTTTGTTCATAAATTGCTGAAGTTCATTTATTCCTTTACAAGGCAAGACAAAGACACTAGCATAGCAAGTCATTTTTGTGTATTGATGTATCCTGCTTCACTGTTGAGCTTTTTTTTATTCTAATAATTGTGGGGGGGGTATTGATTTCCTGGGATTTTCTACTTACAAATAACCAAGATCTTGTATCTGTGGGTGAACAGTTTTATTTCTTTCGGTACAACCTGTATTCTTTTCATTTTGTTTCTTGCATGATTTTTCTGGCTCAAATCTCTAGTACAGTCACGAATAGAAGTGGCCAAAGGAGATATCCTCATCTTGCTCTCAGTGGGGATGGGGGATTTAGTCTTTCATTTTTAAATACAGTGTTAAATGCACTTTCTTAAATAGATGGTGCTTTTTATCAGTTGAGAAAACTTCTTTATTCCTAGCATGTTAAGAATTTAAAAAATTTTTCTCTTTTTTATTTTTTGATGCAAGTGTACATAGTTTGGGGATACCTGTAATAATTTAATACATTCACATAATTTTTAAAGATCAAATGAGTATACTTGGGAATATCCATCACTTTCAATATTTGCCTTTTCTTTACTCTGGAAAACATTCGAATTATTTTCTTTCAGCTATTTTGGAATGCACAATAGATTGTTTTAATATTGTATTTGCCCAATGTTACTTCTCCTGAGATCATCAGACATTTTTCTCTTTGTTTTATGAAGATGCTGTGTTACATTAATTTATTTTAGAATATTAAAGTCAACCTTGTTGTGTTAGGATACAACCTAATTACTTTTGATGTATTATTATTTTTACTGTTCCTGGATTTGTGTTGCTAGATTTTTGCTTTTTAATTCTTGTGTCTATAATTTGGAGGATTTTTAGCTCTTTGGAAAACCAACTACATTGGTTTTCTGTCATGCGGTATCTCTGGCTGGCTCTAGTATAAGGATAACAGACTTTGTAGAATGTGTTTGGAAGTTCTCTCTTTATTTTTCTGGAAGAACTTGTGAAAGATCAGTATTAATACATTTAAACGTTGTTTTAGAATTCACCAGTGATAATGACACAGGGTGGGTGCACCCCGGCTTGGTCAGCACCAGGCGCCAGGGAGGACCTGCCTCACCTTCTGCTGCTCTACTCTGGGGGTGTTGGGACCGCAGATGAAGGGACAGCAGAGCTGCAGAACCAAGTGCAGCAGAGAGGGCAAGTGGGGTTCTCTAGTTAGCTGGGTGAGACCACGCCTTGTGCCAACCCCAGGACCACCCTTGGGCCTAGAAAGCCCTCCACTGGCTACACTACTCCTCTGTGAACATTTCACAGGCCTAAAAGCGATACAGGGTTCCCCATTCAGGGCTGAACAGAGAGCCCCATTTCCTAGACCTGGGCAATATCATGTAAGTTCCTAGGGCTGGGCTATTTTCTGTAAGTTCCCAGGCCTGGATAATTTCATGTAAGTTTCCCAAGCCTGCACAATTTCATGAATGAACT